ACCATTTATCTTGTGTCTGTTAAATTCTGGAGGCTATTTAATAATTATTTAAATGCTTCCTAGAATTTGATAGTGTTTAAGCTCTTTAAAAATAAGTAATTTTCGCGCTATGCCTTGGCTGAAGTTTGACAAGTTGGCTTGTGACACACACATTTATACTCGCGTTCTTGTTTATATGTGGATATGTTTTCCTCTTAAAGTAACTTTCGCTAAGCCTTTTCTTTTTGGCAGTTGGAAGGCCCACCATCCACAATAGCAAGTGTAGGGCCTTGGAGGAAGGTAACAACATTATCTGAAGTTAACTTTTTATTTACGAGAAGTCCTTAAAAATCGAAGTTTATATCCATGAGCTTTAGAGAAATGGTCCGAAGGATTCTTTTCAGTCACGATAACATGGCTATATTGTTGTAAAAATTGTAAGAGAAATTGTTTCATTATTTCCCTGGGTTTGTCTTGGCAGCTCAGTTATATAATTACCCTGACAGATTATGGTTCTATAAATTTTCCATACATGTGCACAATTTTCTTCTTGAAACATGCATCCCTATATCCCATTTTTTCCCCAAAGGTTTATGTTAGCTGTGATGCTAATTTTTCAGTTTGTTTTTATTGGTCCACTGTGCAGATGTTGACATCAAAAGATACCAATTTTATTGGATTTACTTTTAAGAAATCGGACGTCCTTAAATCAATGCAAAGTTCAGGTAAGCTGCTTTCGAGTTTGGCAGCTTTCCTTTCGAATCTTCATTTTCTTGTCCTCTCTTTTGTTTAACCATTTTAGCACATTATCTAAAATTTTGAGTCAACGACAAGGGACTCTGGCCCAGCTGAAATCTGAACACTTGGAATTTAATCTGCATTACCTTACAAAACTGCGGAAGAAAAACTGAAGACAGTGGTCATTCTGCAACGCACTTAGGAGTCAATAAGTACATATACATGATGAGTTTCTTATGTGACTTCACCTGGTCAGAAATTTAAGTTATATAAACGCAAAAGAAATGTAGAGAGCTTTTCTTTATATTCTATTTTCATTCACAATACTTCACTTGAGCCTATGCCTAGTTTTTCTAAATGGTGCTCATTATATTGACTATGCTCAAACCGCAAATCAGCAATGCTGTAACACACACACACACACACACACACACACATATATATATTAAACCGAATTGGCCATAAATTGCATGAATAGCTGGCTAGTGTCATATTGACATTGGATGCTGATTTCAGGTACAGACATGAAATTGAATGACTCTTCGAAGGCTCCATCTCTAATTTCCTTGTTAGGTATGATTACTTTTCCTTCAATTAAATTTCAATATGGTAATCGTGCGCCCCTGGTGGTGGCGGTAAAATATTGGAGGTGCTGCTATTTCGATGATGGATTCAGTAATTGCTTGTTTCCTCGTGACAACTGCCTAGCCTGGCATCAACAATCTATCATATCATCGAACTATGTTTGCATGATTATATTGTAACATCACAAGACTTTAATCTGTTTTGTTCTTGGATGAGCCAGCGTGGTTGAAAAAATTAAGGATTAAGCTAGTACCTGATTTTACAAGTGCTTGTAACCGTTGACTTAATTTAATGTTTATTTCTCTTTCGGCCAATTCAGGTCAGACTGACCTGCAAGAGACTGCAACATCAGAAGGCGAGCAGAAGCCGGAATAATGAGATCCAAGTATATCATGCTTTGCTGCAAGTGCTGTCGATATTCCTAGTTTTGCAATCTACAAAGGGAGTTATTCGAGGCTGAAATCTGAATCGGAAGACATGAACAAGGACACCGCGATTTTACAAGTGCTTGTAAGCTGAATTTCTGGGCCACAATGATTTTTACTGAATTTTGCCTACACGAATCTGTTTTGGTACTTCATAGCAACTAGATAGTTCAGTTCAATTCGAAAACAATTTGTCGGGAGCTTGTTTTCCTCTCACACGTGTCAGAGCCAGGTACGAAAAAGCAACTTTTGAATACGTTCACGTGTTATGCACGCGCGTCAATGTTTACAGGGGATTGGATGATCTACTTGTGTATATTTTTCGTGTAGCTCGATACAATTTTTTTTTAAAAAATATAATTTATTGAGGCTACGATTGTTTTCAATACTGTAATCTTAAAGAAAAGAAATAAAAAGGTTGTGAATACGTATTGTTGAGAATAACACAATTTTTATATTTTTTTATATGTTTACAAAATAATGTTAAAATTGAACTTAATGACTGGAGATCCAATCTAAATTAAATCAGTCAATATTGTTTTTATTGTTATGATTTTCTTTCATTTCAGTTTTTTAGGAATCAAATAGAGGTTTGAAAAAATTAAAGATAAAAAAAGAAAATAGTACAATCATCACCAATGAAGAGAAATGCATCACCAATGTTGTCTACAATTTGAAACTCGAGCTTCATGGTATTGTTTGAAGAAGACAGATTAAACAAATGAGCTAATTTAGAGATTTTTATGAGAAATGAAGAAGATAAAGATAACAAGTTGGGTCAACAAGCGAGTGAAAAACAAAAGGAGTGATACTTTGATAATAAAAGAATAGTTTGTCACATAATTTTGAAGTAGAACAATAGGCCAGAATATAGTGGACTAAAATGACAGTGATCTTGATTTTTTATATATATAAAACCAGTTGACTTATCAAGTTTAATCTAAGTTAAATTAGATCAATTGAGTTTTAGTTAAATCTAATTAATTCAATTATTTGATTTGTTTAATCTCAAATCTAATCTAAATTGGATCTCAAGTCGTCATCAGTCATCGGGTATACTTTAAAATATTGTTTGTGCTGTGCTTTTTTTTTTTTTCTAATGGGAACAAGGCAACCTCAATAAATTAAAGAAAAAACATTTAGTGTTAAGTGACCGGTAACAGTACAATCTAACGGGCGGTGCCATTTTATTTTATTTATTTATTTATTAAAAAAAAAAAGAACTCAAACATAGGGTTTTCACTGTTTGATAAGTTGTTCACCTTTTCATGTTCTATTCACGTTATTGTTTATAGTCAAAAAAAGAAAAAAATTGACCTGTGAAATTTTTATTTATGTTACTGTAATCATTGAACTTTTTTTTTTAAATTTCATCATCCCAAGTTATATCAATATTGTTTCATGTTCTAAAATTTATTGATTTATATGTTATAATGTATCCTATATGTCATAGAATATTTCAACATTAAATTAAAAATTAATATTACAAAATAAAGTTTTAGATATCATTAAAAAAATTTGAAACAACAATGACCAAAACTAGCATGAAAAACAAGACTATTTGCCACTTTTTCATATTCTTCTATTCATGTTATTGTTTATAGTAAAAAAAAATTTGACTTGTGAAATTTTTATTTTTGTTATTTTAATCATTGATTTTTTTTAATTTTATCATCCTAAATTATATAAATATTGTTTCATCTTCTAGAATTTATTGATTTATTTTGATTTGCATGTTATAATATATATGATATGTCAGAGAATATTGTAACATTAAATTAAAGATTGATATTATGAAATAAAGCTTTAGACATAATTAAAAAGAAAATGAAAACAATAATGACCAAAACTAGCATGAAAAACAAGACTATTTTCACTTTTATTGTTTAAATGGCATGAAAAAAATACAGTTTGGTCCCTAAAATTTTATGTTTTGGTCCCTATTGTTTTAGCTTTTTGTATTATAGTCCTAAACTTAATTAATTATCCTTTTCATGTTTTAATCTTTTAGATGTTGAGAGAGAAAAGGGAAAGTATTTAATCGATCACATTTTAATTATAAAAGAAACGGGTATTATATGAATAGATTAATTTTAAAAATAAGAGGTTAAATTGAGATAGTTTTCTCTTTAACCAGATTTAAGAAATGTATATCAATATTGCACGTAAAAATACTTTTATTTGATTTAATTTTTAGTTTTTTTTAATGATTTTCTCGGGGGTTTTAGGACTAGACATGGGAATATTAATGCTACTAGGAATCTTACTTTGCAAGTTTCAGCCAAAATTAAAAACAAAAATCATCCGAGACAACGTTTTGCTGGTTTGGATTTCTTTAATCTGACCTAGCTGTCAGAGGAGAAAAATGAAATCATGCCCATTCTCACTTCCACTGTATATAGACATAGGATTGAATAACCAGAACAGAGAAAAACAAATTAGGTTTAGCTGTGGTAGATGTCATTCCTAGCACATAAAATGGAACAAATTAATTAAAAAAAACATAATTACGAAGTAATTAAATGAAGGTGAGAGTAAATTGAAACCTTTTACTTTAAAAAAAACTAAGAATTGAAATCATATATGTTATCATAATTTTATAATATAATGATGATTAAATAATCAATATCATTGTAATTCAACGAGGATGACAGGCTAAGATATAAATAAAATTATATTACACATTGTATTAGAGATATAATAACTTAATCATTTTTTATTTTAGTTTTATGAACATGCATTGCTCATGGAAAAACAGAGAAACTTTCATACAGCAACTTCAACCATATATCACCCGAAATCTCATGCAGGTAAATAGAAAAACGAGCATGAAAACAACAACGTGTGCGTTGAATATGCAAAAATCCCGAGAAGAGAGGCAAAACGGTACCGTTAAGTAAGAACATGCGCGGGAAGCCGGGGTTAAGGATGAGAGAGAGAGAGAGAGAGCTGATAAATAATTGCAACCGCCAGAGTTTAAAAATAATAAATAAAAAAAACGATGGCCGATAATATCATAATTCATAGGTCACATCGCGAGCGCCACGTAATAACCGTAACGCATCTGAAAGGTCAAGACAGACTGACAAACTCCAGAGAAGAAGATATTTTCGACACTGGAACAAAAAAATAAATATCTGCCTCTTCCTTCGCGCTAACTAGTCTGCATTACTGACATGGCAAGTGATGGCTCCATGACACGTGTAAAAGCGGTGACAACTGTAACGTTCTTTTGTCCCAGCTCCCTCTTCTCATTCTTCACGTTTCCCTCTCTCTCTCTCTCTCCCTCAATTTTTTTACTCTTTAAGTTTCTCTGAATCTTATTATTTTATGCTGTATATGGATGGTTATAGAGAAAGTGAAAGTCGAACGAGATCAGAAACGTCTGGGTTAGCTGGTCACGAGTCAGTCGAGTTGGCTCAACAGGTACTGTCTTCTTGGATTTGCTGTTGCAAATTTATTTGTTTTTGCCTGCTTTCTTTGTTCATTCTTAGCGCAGTTTTGATACCTTTTTTATTTACTTTTTTCTTCTTTTGAAGAGCCAATATAGTGGTGTTTGTATGATTTCTTTTTATTTTTCTAGCTTATAAACTGTAAAGCAACATTAATTTTTTTTTCTTTCAATATTTAAAATCGCAAAGAATATATATGTATATATATATATGTTTGTTTGTTTGTTTTTTACCACTCTTTTCATTATGTTTGTGATTCACCGATATATGGTTTTGATGTCCTTAATTCTTATAATCATGAGTGTTGAGTTGAAAAATCATTTGATTATTACGACATAAGATCTCTGCTTTTTATCCTTGAAAAAATAAAATATAAAAGTTGTGGTTGTTTTTAAGGAAATTGTGCTAAGAAAGTAGGTTTCATGATCTGTTGATTTTTGTGAAAGTTATTATTACTTGTTTTGTTCCTTCAACCTAAGAAGGAAGATGGTTCAATTGTTTAAATAATAATCTGTTGGCAGCTTGTGAGGATATTTTCTTGACACAAGATTAAATGAAGAACATCATACATGGGAATTGAACGATCCTTTTTTTTCTTCTTTTTTTTACTTTTCAAGGATTCTGATTCTAATTATAATGTTAACTATACATGTCAGGATTCACCGATGATAGAATCCATGTCTTCAGAATGGACAGATGAGAAGCACAATCTTTATCTTAAATCCATGGAGGCTTCATTTGTTAATCAATTAAACAACTCGATAGGTCTTCTTGGTTGGCGTTCCCGGAAGGGGAGGTCAGTTCCAAACTTGTCTGGGGAAGTCAATTGTAGCACCTGTAGACCTTCTGGCCAGGTTCGAAACTAATTTCTGTTAGCATTGGTGCACTTCCCCTTTGCTATTGTTTCTGTGTGTTTGCGATTGCCTATGTTTTGTCTTGGCAAGTGTTTCTTCTTCTGTTTTGTCCTCATTTCAAATTTATTCCAGTTTAAGGTTCATCAACGTGGCGGCTGGCAGAAAATCAATTTTCGAAGACCTGAATCTCAACTAAGCTCAGCGAAGGACTCCCGTGGGTTTTTAACAAGCCCATGGATTCAACAGTTTACGCCTGCAAGAAAACCAGATGGTGCAACATCTCCTGCTCATCAAGAAGGTGCGATCCAAAGTCGAGGAATCAATTTAAATTGGAAGAAAGCAGTGCTCTGCTGTCCAGCAACTAATTCAAAACTTTCTCATTTTGGCAACTCTTGTCATCATGATTTCGTTGAAAGCAACACAGGTGCTCTTAATTATGTTTGTTGTGTTTCCTTAAAGATTCTCCTTTTCTGCTCTGCATTGCAATGCTTTTCCTTCTTTCCTCCATAGCTATAACTACTGCAACAATAAAAGATTAGGGAAGACTGAGAATTCATACATGTTTTCTATGAATACTGTTAGTTGATTCCTTGATCGTTTACTGTTGGATATTTAAATTAAATCGGCAGGATCATCACGCTCCTTCTTCCACGTCACTCTGTCAAGTACGGTGATATATGAATTGTAGGGGCTGGGATAATTTATCGTTCTATCTGTAGACTTGAAGGATACTCTCACGCATGCAGATCTGTAAGAGATGAAGGCTGGCAGAACAAAATTTTTCCTGGAATCTAAGTGTCCGAAAGTACTACTACAGTAGTGTGTTACAAAGAATTTGAACAAAAGAAACTTTGTATGGGTAAAAATAGGGGAGTCTGGGGGTTTGAAAGTCGAGAAAATAGTTTCTATTGTGCATTAAATTAGTGAATTAAAAGAACTAAAATGTGGAAAACATTGTTGGGTAATTTCCGTGCTGCATTTGTGCTGACTATGGAAAAATTGAACGGTTTTGTTTAGTTATATAAGCATGGTCCTAGTTCCTTGTGGCTATCCATGCTTAAGCGTCCTGAAAAATGTTTCAAGGGCTAATGCTTCGGGGGAAAGAATACAAAATGATTGGATGCTTTAAACATCTTCTTTTGCTATCAAACTGAGCGGCATCTTCATTATTCTTGTAGAGATGTCAGGCCAGAACTTTGTCGACGAAGACATCGAAGGTGAAAGGGCAAGCAGTTCTTTCAGCTCAAAAAGGTTGAAATCTCTGAAAACTGATACTTCGAGTAGTGACCAGGTAATCTCTAAATTTGGTTGAGCAGCACCCTTTCATTCGGACTCTAGGTCACAGCATAATTTCAGCATTGTAGTCTCAATTTAGCCCCCCTCATTGACTGCTTTTACAGGTTGTTCCCCACGGGAAGACTCCTGTGGAAGAAGACGTTACTGAGTGTATTTCTGCAGCTAAATAAAGGACTTGCAATACTGATCTGAAAGTCGATGGCTTGTGTGACTAATTTTCTAACCCTTGGAGTGCTGGACAAGCTCTTTTTTTTTTCCTTTTCTTTTGAACTGGGGGGGGGAGGGAATGCGTCGAGGCATTTCTTAACATGGTTACAGCAACGAATAGCTAGCATTATTTGATGCCTACAAAGACAGGGAGGAGGTGGGGGGATGCTCTGTTACGGAGGGCTACTAATCCTTTATCTGCTTGTAATCTTTTATATGGTTGCGGCAACTGTATGTGTTGCATGTCGGTTGCTTCATATGTTGACATAAGTCAACAGATTTTGTAGTACAATTAAGGTTTGTGTAAGCTATGATGATAGTTATTGAAGCACTGCTATCCAGTAGGTATTGAGTTTGGGTAACTAAGAACGTTATCTCATTAGAAAAGATTTCTCTCCAGGCAACCGATGCCTGAGCTAATTTAAGACAGTTCTTCTCTTTTCTTTTTTTTATTTCAGCTACGTTGAACATTAACAAAACGAAGTCTTTTAACCCGATTTTGCTTCCCTGCTGGGCTCGAACTTAAAGACCTTAATATATATTCACAAGCCCAATAAACATTTTCATGATCAAGGGGGCTCGCTATGATCGAGGACTTCTCTTTTTTTCCTTCCATTTCACTGGTTTTGAAGTCCAGATCTTTGGTCCGTATATAATCGCTGCTGCGAGTTGGTTAAAAAACAATTATTGTAAAAAAAAGAATGTGTACATGTTATAGATATGGACTCTCACATTATGAAAAAATTTTAGTGTGTTACTATAAACAGGTAAATAGGTGATATGCTATACTGTGGGTTAGGTTAATTTTTTTTTAATATGAAAAAAAAATCAAGTGACACTAATGTTTTTCTTTTAAAAAAATTAAGACTTATTATGTGTTATTGATTTAACTAGGTTTAATAGATTTAATTAATTTAATAATATAATTTAAAAAAGTATCTACAAGGCAATAAAAAAACTAGCAATGATTAATTATAAAAAATAAACTCTTAATATCATATTTTGAAGGAGAAGAAATTAAAACGAGTTGATAGTGTCGTTATGAAAAGCCATATGATGACACTAAAAGAGATTGATACGCCGTCAAAGTCACAGCCAGAAAAGAAAACAAAGGAAGGTATCATGAAATGAGTGAGAAATTTTATAGTGCTCATGGAATAGCTAATGACATTCTATATTAGTTACTTCTTAGGCTCATTATAAAAAAAAAAAAAATACAAGTACAAGATAAAAATCCTAATAGGATATATTTTATCACTTTCAAACATGTATAAATTTTATTTTCTCTTTTCTCTTTTTATTTGTTTCTTTCTTCATAGTAGTCTCAAGAAGTAACTAATAAAATATTACTAATTATTCCCTTAATATCATAATTTTTTCACGAAGTGAACATTTCATGTTTATATTTAATCAATTAATTTTATTTAATTAAAAAATCTTATAAGAAACTAAATTTAACAAAGAATAACAAATAAAAAGACTTTAAAGAACTCAAGTCATTTCTAAAATAGTGAAAATTATATAGAAAATAAATAAAAATAATAATGGAGTCAATTTACAACTACACAAGCATCAAATGATGAAACTAAAATAACATGAGTTTCAAAAAAGGATAAAGAAAAAACATGCAAAAATCGAGTGAATTTCCTAAATTCATGTTAATCTCTCATGCTCACAACATGCAAAATCCTACACCCGAGTTTAATCAAAAAGTTTAATCTTTGATCAATTTAATATTGATGGATAAAATTAAAAAAAAATATCAATTGAAATTCTTCTCCAATGTAAAAAAAAAAATGCAATTAAAAAACAAAGACAATAACATTATAAATAAATAATTTTAAAAATCATATAAAATAAAACAAATAGAATTAGAGACTGGATTTGACATATAAAAAAAATTAAAGAATGATGAAATTGAAAAAAATCTAGCTTTAAAGATTATTTAAAAAACAAATAGTAATCAAAATAAGATGGACCAAACATGATGAAAAAATAATTAAAAGAATTGCTTTGAAGAAATCATCACACACACACAAAAAAAAAATATTAGCGAAATTTCTTTTTTTATTTTTAAAAAATAATAATTCAGTTCCTCATTTATTTTATTTTCGTTCATTTTTTAATTTAAATTTTATTTTTTGTTTTTATAATCTCATCTTTAATTTTTTTTAATAGTTATTTGGTTATTTTTAGACCGATTAAATTGACTAGGTCACATTTAAATTATTTCCATATAATTTAATTTTAAATCCTAGCAAAGTAATGAGTTGAGTTGGGAGGGTGTTTTTTATTAAATTTATTCTTAGATTTTCTTATCAGTCAACTAAATTGTTTTTTGATCAAACACGTCAACTAAATCCAATCAAAACGACTCCAATACATTTTAATCTTAAACCCATACTAGATAATAAGTTGAGTTAAAAAGATTTTTTATATTAATTTTATTATTTTTAAAAAAAATTACTTGTTTTACTAGTCGATTAGAATATCTTTGAATCAAGTAAGTTAGTTAATTCAAGTTGGGATAACTTATATATATATTTTAAATTTAAATTAAAAAATTTAAAATTAATTTACCAAGTTGGATTAAAAAAATATCCAATTTTTTTTTTATTACTTGGTCCACGACGCAGCATGGTTCTCTAACCGAGGACGTAAAATAATCATTTAATGGACACATCACTGAGGACCAAACATGAGAGATTTGACAAAGAACTTTTCTGACAAATGACACCTTAAATTGATAATTTAATGGACACATCACTGAGGACCAAACATGAGAGATTTGACAAAGAACTTTTCTGACAAATGACACCTTAAATTGATAAAAAATAAAACACTCAACCGGTAAGTGAAGTTCTGACCTAGTGATAGAAGGGGTTTGTCCTCTTCCTCTATACCTGGGTTCGAACCTTACCATGCACACCTGTCACCCCCGTGGTGCTTTACCTGCTCACTGGGCTTGCAAAATGTTCAGTGGGTCGTGGAGATTAATCGTGGTGCTCGTAAGCTGGTCCAGACATTCCACATAAATAAAAAAAAAATACCCAACCGTGAAAAAAAGAGTCTCGATTTGTTACATTTTTATCTCGCCCCCCCCCCCCCACATACAAAACCA